CCGGGGGGAACATGTGTTTGGGGACCTCGATCGAGTCCCAAATTTCGGAGTCGAGGGAGTTGAAGTTTTGCAGTGAGTGCAGCTTCGACCAATCAGGTTGCAATTTTTGCTTCGGGTAGGTTGCAAGCAGTCACTGAGTGACGCGGTGTCGGTCATCAGTACTCACGTGCTGCCGTCGTAGTGCATCATTACGAAATTGGGTGTACCGTTATGAAATTTCGGAGAACCTTCATCTCGATAGGTAGAGTTTTCGAAGGGGGGGGGGGGGGGGGGTGTGGTTCCCTGTACACGCTCTTCAGGGTAATCTTCGCTAAGGGAAAATTTACCCCAGAGCATCAGTGTGGCCCAGGGCCTCAGATATCAGGAAAAAAACCCTGAAATTCCTGATTTTGGCAGCCGATTTTTAAGCTACCCTGAACTTTCAGAGTTGGGATTTTTGTTGGACTGATCTTTCAGGTTTTTTTTTTTGGCCACACTGATTTTCCAGGTTTTTTTCCCGTGGAACACTGATGCCACTACGTTGTAACGAAACCGACACTGAAAGCGAATCTCACCTGTGCCATGTTACCTCGCCCGCAATTACAGGGAATCTCACATTCCCTGTACGTGGGCACCCCGGGGAAGGACCAATGTTGCCTCAGGTTCACTTTGGCTGGTGTTTTTTTGGCGCGTCGCCTCTCACACCATTGGGCAGTTTCGCTGCAGCATCCAGTGTTGGCCAGTCCTAACTTGGCAGACATGTGGTGCTGGCGGGCTGCCAAGGTTCCTGCCCCGTACCCATCATGTGCGGTGCGTTAGGGTTGGGCTGTGCTGGCAAGCACCGTGCCATCCTTCTTGAAGTCGGGGTGAGATGATGATGCCTCCACGCCGCCCAGCCCACCCACCGTTTCCGCCACCCTTCTTGTCCAACCTTTGCATCAGAACCAGGGTTTCCCTCGTTCACCCTAGTGTACCAGGAGGCAGCCAGCCGAGGCCTGAGTTTTGCGCTTGCAATCCCTTGCCTTCGCAGTTGTCTCTAGGTTAGATGCGAGGCCGTACGCGCTGCTTACCATGGCGGAGCAGCTTGATGGCACGGAAAGAAACGGCGACCACGCCGGTGCTGCGCATCGCCAGCCGCATGTAGACCGTACAGAAGCTGTGACCGGCATCGACCTGTTGTTTTCAGGCTTAGCGCAGGTCAACGTCAATGAGAGGCAACCTGAACTAGAGCCGCCAGACAAGATACCGTTCGAGCACATAGATCTGGAGCCGCTCTGTGCGTCCCCGTCAGCGCCAGACATCGAGCAAGACAGTTCACCGCCTCCAGCTGACAATACCACTCCTGAACCAGAGGCCAAGAAAACCGGCCGATACACGCAGTCAACGCTGCCATTCATTCCTAAGGCCGCAGTCGACGGGGCTACTGTGCCTGCGCCAACCGACCAACGGTCGTCGCCCGTGATAACAAAAACGCAGGAGTCGCCATCTGTTCCAGGTCCTTCGAAGCAGTCTGGACGCGACGCGCTCTACGCCGAGGCTCTGTATAAGTACAAGGCTGAGTGGCTGGAGAGGTTTGAGTGGCTAATTCTACTGCGGCAATCTGACGGTCTCCCTGCTTTCAAATGCTCTATCTGTACCGAGCATGCAGGTTATGCTGGAAAGTGCGGGAAAGGCGGGAAGGGCGCCTCAGACGTACAGACTCAGGCGTTCAAGCGGCACGCGCAAACAACCAAGCACAAGGAGGCGGTCAAGAACCAGGCGAAGCTTCTTGCTGAAGCTGGCCGGCAGCCGCGTATCAACGGTGACAACCTCGCTCGTGACACCGAGAAGGAGCGGGTCATCAAGCTGTGTGACTCCCTCCTCTTCGTGACCAAGCAGGATGCACCCATAGAACTATGGGTGAACCTCGTTCGCTACCTCGCGGAGCAGAAGGTGCCGGGATTTCCCGCGAAAGGATACGGCACCTACTACACCACGTGAGTAAACGCCGGGTTTTCATGTTCTTCGTGTTGTGTGTGTTTAACTTTTGGGCACGCTCTAACCGTGATTCACATGCGCCACAGGTACGGCTTTGGCCAGCTCACACAGTCAATCGCGACATGGTTACACACCACGCAGCTCGAGCACATCCAAGCAAGCCCGTACATCGGACTCACTTGTGACGAGAGCACAGACAGGTGTCGAGGAAAACACATGATCCTTTTCGTTACTTTCATCCGTGAGAATCGACCGGTCACTGAGTTTCTGGCCCTGCTGACTGTGGAGAAGTGCGACGCTGCATCTCTCCTCTCAGTGTTTCTGTCTCACTTGCAGGCTCTCGGCATCGACCTTGCCCGGATCGCTGGTATAAGCACCGATGGGGCGAAGGTGATGATGGGACGCAAGAACGGCCTCGTCGTACGGCTTCGCCTCCGCGTTCCACATCTCGTCTCAAGCCACTGTGTTGCCCACAGGTACGTTTTTTGTTGCACCATGCGTAAACTGCTTGACGTGACTGTATCATCCTATGCTAATATCCTGTGTTGCTCGCTTGGGTTTTCTTGTGCCTGCAGGGAGGCGCTCGCAGCAAAACATGCAGCCCGGGCCCTTCCCGAGTTCGACATGGTTGACAGCCTGATCCGTCAACTCGCAGAGCATCTCGGCCGTTCCGGCCCCTGGCATCAACGCTTTATGGAGCTTCAAGAACTCTTCACGTCCACGAACCTGGAGCTTCAGGGGATTCACACGGTCCGCTGGCTCTCCAGGGGTGACGCTGTTTTGCGTCTGGTGGCCGTCTTCCCCGCGATCATCGTCATGCTGTACGAGTGGGACGAGACGCTGTACGAGCTCGCCACGAGCTACAGGTTTCACTTCCTCTTGTACTTCCTGGCCGACGTGCTCGAGCAGCTGAACATCCTGAACAAGTCTTTCCAGCAGCGAGAGGTGAGCGACTTGGCGTTTCCGTGTGTGCTTAACTTGTCTTGATGTCTTGTTATTGTATTTGTGGCTTCTGTGTGTGTTTGTCATTGCAGTTATATTGTTGACAGTCAAACAAAACATTATTTGTGTGAGAAAGCACCCCCAATCTCGACTGCCGTGTTTCCCGCAATGTTATTTCTTTCGCCCAAACATAGCTTGACATTGCAGGTGTGCACGCGCAGATCAGGAGAACCATCTCCTTCCTAGAGACCCGCTACGTCGACTGCGGCGATGATTTTGGGGGCGGGTTGAGCGCGCGCCTGTCCCCGTTCATCATGAAGTACGGGCCGGACAGTGACAACCCCGAGGTGACGGTGCAAGGAGTGGACTCAGACGGTCGGCCCACTAAACACACGTTCAAACTGCACGAGAACCCGAGCGAGGACTACCCAACGCTGGGAAATCACTACAACTGCGTGGATCTCTGCACCTCGTTTGCAGAGGCGCTCGTGCGCAACCTCACCAAGAGGTTTGCAGATTTGGACTCCCTTGTGGGAGTCCGGCTGTTCATGCCCGATGAGTACCCACCAGAGAGAGGAGAGCGCCACAAGCAGTGTCTCGAGTGGCTCATGTCACTCGTTAGGCTGTTCAGGGCAGTGGAGACAGACTACATCCTTCCTGGTACGTGTTTATTGATTGTGCACCAGTGCTGTACTCAGCGTAACATTTTGAACGTAAAGTTCTGTGTTGGTGTCTGCCTCTGCCCTGTTGGTCAGTCATCCTAACGATCACTTATCTGCTTTGTCTGGCAGGGATCGACAAGCGCCGGGCGATCAAAGAGCTGCGAGCCTTTTGCCCCATCCTCGCAGGTGCCCCGAAGACCGAGAGAAGCTTCCATGCCGGCCTCACTGCGATGCTGAAGACAAGCGACTGGACGACCAGCTACCCCAACCTTGTGCGTCTCTGGGTCGCTGTCGCCGTACTGCCGCTGAGCACAGTGGAATGTGAGCGCGGGTTTTCCCGCCAAAACATCATCAAGTCGTGGCAGCGTGGGAGCCTCAAAGACGCCCGCCTTGAAGATCTTGTCACGATGTCGCTCCTCGAGTACGTGCCCGACTACAACGAAATCGTGCAGGTCTGGCGCAGCTACAAGAAGCGCCGGCCCTTTGGCAATGTGGCAGCAGCTCCAGCAAGAGAGGGGCAGGGTAGTGGCAGGGGAAAGGAGGCAGAGGCAGTACAGGAGTGGGAAGCAGAGCCAAAGGCTCAGGGGGGTGATGATGATGATGGCTCTGATTCCGATGATGATGCATGCATGACCCCTATTAGAGACTCTTAGATTATAACTGCAGCAACTCTTCTTGTGACTATTTATTTTAAATGTAGGAGTCTGAAATACAGTCAATGTTTTTGCAAATGGTACACTGATGCATCAGGCTTTGAAAATTTGCAACACTGAACTTTCAGCTTTTTTTTTTTTGGGACACTGACAATCAGAGTTCCCACGCAGGGGGACCCTGATGGCCTGACGACCCTAAAAGTGAATCTGAGGCCCTGGTGTGGCCTAAATCATTACACTGACATATCAGTGTAACACTAATCCCCCAAACTGAAAATTTCACCCTTCTCATCAGTATAGAAGTGTAAATTACACTGCAAACCTGAGCCCTGGCTATGGTGATGTATCGTGATGTGCTATTTGAGGAAAGAAAAATGAGTTTTTTCGAAAGTGTGTAACACTTTCTAAAAATGTGTGTATGTTAATTGCCAACCGCCACCAGACCAGAGTGTCTCCACCGCACAGGCAGATTGAGGAACGAAATGTCAAGGTAGAAATGCAGTGCAGGGACTGTTACAGAGGGTTACAAGTCATACAGCTTTTACGGTATGTACTGTGATGTGATGTGACGTGATGTGATGGGAGTCGTGACACTGAGTATATACTTGGAGATTACAATACAAAGCCACGGAAGCACTGCTAGCGGTATGTCATTACAACTCTGCTGTACCTAGTGAAGGAATCATATGCAAATAATCATACACTGTACCTGTTGCCTGTTGTCAATAAACTACTAGTTTGATGTCATACATACTGAGAGCATTGTGATTAGCTACAATTACTGTAATCAAGTGGTAAGCGATCTTTGTGGGGACAAGTGTTGGTGATAGTATTTGGGATGATGTGAGAAAGGGTTGAACTCCTCAGCTGAGGTGCTGGATGAGCTGTAATGTGAATCGCCAGACGAGCCGTGTGACGAGTCATGGGACGAGTCTTGTGACGAGCCGCCAGAACCGTCAGACGAGTGATCAGAACCGTCGGAGTCATGAGATGAGCTATCAGAGCCGTCGTATGAGCTTTCAGTTGAGCTGTCAGAAGAAGAGCCATCGGAGGATGAGAAGTAGAACACCACACAGCGCCTCTCGTCCGGAATGATGCTGTTGCCGTCACCTGTGTTGAGATTGAACGTTGCAGCATCGGTGGACACCTGCGCGGCACTGATGGGTAACCGGATGTAGCGGTTGGCTAGGTTGGCCGAGAGAATATCCATGATGTTTCGTGCGGTTAGCACCTGGGGGGTGGGGAAGGTGTGGATGAGAGGGGGACGGAGGATGTTACAACTCATGTTGTGTGAAAGCTGATACACGCAGGTGCGCAGACATGTGCGATGGGAGAGGCATGTGCGATGGGAGAGGCATGTGCGATGGGAGAGGCATGTGCGATGGGAGAGGCATGTGCGATGGGAGAGGCATGGGAGAGGCACGTGCGATGGGAGAGGCATGTGCGATGGGAGAGGCATGTGCGATGGGAGCGGCATGTGCGATGGGAGAGGCATGTGCGATGGGAGAGGCATGTGCGATGGGAGCGGCATGTGCGATGGGAGAGGCATGTGCGATGGGAGCGGCATGTGCGATGGGAGAGGCATGTGCGATGGGAGAGGCATGTGCGATGGGAGAGGCATGTGCGATGGGAGCGGCATGTGCGATGGGAGAGGCATGTGCGATGGGAGCGGCATGTGCGATGGGAGCGGCATGTGCAATGGGAGAGGCATGTGCGATGGGAGTGGCATGTGCGATGGGAGAGGCATGTGCGATGGGAGAGGCATGTGCGATGGGAGAGGCAAGTGCGATGGGAGCGGCATGTGCGATGGGAGAGGCATGTGCGATGGGAGCGGCATGTGCGATGGGAGCGGCATGCAGGATGGGAGAGGCATGCACGATGGGAAAGATACATATAACAGGAGTTTTTGCAGAGAGAGCAGCAAGTCTCACCCACACACTGTTACTCACATTGCTTTGGAAGAAAAAAGCGTTAGTAGCTGCTGCTGTTGTCTTGTCCTCCACTCCATCCCCACATATGATCTCTGCTGAGCCCACATTAATCACCACCACTCGTACTCCCCCTCCGCTATCCCCTCCCCCGTTATCCCCCCCTCCGTTAGTCTCCCCCCCACCGCTCTCCCCTGTGTTGACCTCTGTCGGAGCTATAGTCACTGTGGTTAGTCCATCTGCCGAGCCTGGATCCAGCAGCTGCTGTAGCGTGATGCGAGGTACGGTGGTTTCCGAACCTCCAAGGATGAAACCGCACAAGCTGGGTTCGGGAGGGCAGTTGGAGTCCGCGGGGGTTTCAGGTTCGGGAGGGGGTGGTGAAGGGGGAGGTTCGGTGGGCGGAGGTGAGGCTGGTGGTTCGGGAGGAGGTGCGTATGCAGGCTCGGGAGGAGGGGCGGCGGTGGGAGGTTCGGATTGTGGGGGTGGAGATGCTGGGGGGTTGGGGGAAGGGGGGGGCTCGGGGGGAGGAATCGGGGGGAGGATTGGGGGCATGACAGGGGGAGTTTCGAGGGGGGGAATCACTGGGGTTTCGGGAGGAGGGGCAGGGGGAAGAGCAGGCGGGGGAGCAGGCGAGGGGGACGGTGGGGGGGGAGATGGAGGGGAAAGAGGTGGGGGGATAGGGGGGATGGTTGGAGGGAGGGATGGGGGTGGGAGAGGGGGTGGGGGAGAAGGGGGAGGTGAGGGAGGGGGAGCAGGAGGCGGGGCGGGTGGGGGAAGAGAAGGGGGAAGTGACGCAGGGGGAGGGGCAGGAGGAGGGGCAGGAGGAGGGGCAGGAGGGGGCGCAGGGGGAGGGGAAGGTGGGGAGGCAGGAGGGGGAGGAGAAGGGGGAGGAGGCGGAGGTAGGGAAGGGGGAGGGGGGGAAGGAAGCGGCGGGGGAATAGGGGGAGGAAACGGAGGGGGAGAGGGTGGGGGAAGCGGGGGTGGGAAGGGGGGACGAGGGGGAGGGCTACTGGGAGGAGGGGGGAAGGGGGGACTGGGGGAGGGAGGCGGGGGTGTTTTGTTCCACTTGTACTTGAGTGGCTGAGACGTTGTGCCTGGAGGGATGCAGAGAGGGCATGGAGAAGGAAAGACGACCAAGGGTTTAGGGAGATAAAGATGGGATGGCGGGAGAAAGGAACAACGATGGCCAAGGAGAGCTCTGCAAGGTTAAGTAAACATGATTACGTATCACACAACAGCACACCACTTTAAACCACGTCACACCTCACCAAATCCTACCCAAACCTAACCGAACTTACTTAGATACCCTACCTTATGCCACGCTCCCCTACCCTGTGAATTGCAAGCTGTTTGTGACATGGGAAGGGGAGTGGCACGTGACTGTGAGTGAACCAGTGTGAGGGTGAGTGTGAACCGAGTGAATGTGAGAGTGTGCGTGTGAGAGTGTGGCACAGCAGGGCGGCCTAGGAGTGTGGAAACCAGCCGGCCAGGCTGACTGGGTGAGAGGGTGAGAGGTTGAGAAGGTAAGAGGGTGGATTACAGTTCATGTCGGCCCATGAAATGCGGGAAGCAACGTTGTTGAAGTAGACATGCTTGTTGAACAGCCAGGGCGCTGGTGGTGGCGAGCAGGAGAGAGGGGAGGAGGCAACGACTTTTGAGACGTCTCAAAAACAGCCAGGGCGCTAGTGGTGAGAGCAGGAGAGAGGGGAAGAGGCAACGTGAACAAGGTGAAGGAGGGAATGGAGGGAGAGGGCAAGGAGGGGGTAGAGCAAAGAGGTTGAAGGGGGTGTGATTCTGATTCCTCATCATATCATCGTGTGAGTGCGTGTGGCGTGGCTTGTGGAATGGAATGGAATGGAATGGGTACATCAGGCAGGCTGCGACTCAAACAGGCCCGCCCCTACCTCCAATGATGGTGTGGGGAGTGTTGGTCAATGTCTTCTGCAGCGCGAAACACACTGTCCTGGGCAGGGCTGCTGGGTCCTGGAGGGGTGCAGAACGGTGGATGAGGGTGGAGACGGGTGGAGACGGGTGAGGGAGGGTGGAAGGTTGGCATAGCGTGGCTAAGGTAGGGAGGGCTGAAAGGGAGGGAATGGTGCGTACAAACATGCAGTGGTGAGGAAGAAGCAAGCAAGCAGGTGAGGAGGAGGTGTCACTCTTCAAAGTGTCACTAACGTAGTACCCAACCCAGGAGAGAAGAGAAGAGGAGGGGCTACTCACGGGCAGCAGGAGATACGTGTCCAGTGGTAACCACCAGAAGGCCCCGTTGGTGATATGGTAACCACTGATACATATAAGCCTTCACTCACGGGCAGCAGGAGATACGTGTCCAGTGGTAACCACCAGAAGGCCCCGTTGGTGATACGGTAACCACTGATACATATAAGCCTTCACTCACGGGCAGCAGGAGATACGTGTCCGGTGGTAACCACCAGAAGGCTCCATTGGTGAAGTCCAGGCGGGCGAGAGGGAAGGAGGCCAAGAGCGCTGCGCGGGAGCTGGTGTGGTGTGGTGTGGAGTGAGGCAAGGAGAGGGAGGGGCGGATGGGGGAAAGGAGGTTGGAAGGGGAATGGGGCATGGAGGACCGGGAATGGGGGATGGGAGATGGGGATAGAAGGTGGAGGGGTGTGAGAATGGTCAGGAACAACCCCCAAGCGTTTTCTGCCCTCTACTGTCCTGCCTGCATGGTCAAGGAAGTGACATTTGAGTCGACTCAAAAGTCACCTCGTTCCATGCCCCATGGTCAAGGAGGAGCACACAGTGAGCCAGAGCATGGGGCATGGGACGACCTATAAGTTGAGTTCAAGTTACGAGGCACAGGGCGTAGGAGGTTGGTGGGTGGGTGGGTGGGTGGGTGGGATGATGTATGGCGGGGAGTGAGAGCACCGGGCGTGGGGCATTCGTTGGAAGTCACTCACGAAACGAGATGTTGACAGGGGCAGGCAGGTGGTAGCATTCAGAGCAGAGAGCAATGACTGTGAGGCGTGAGGCATGGCGCGTGGGACATTCACCCTTACATGAGGCATGCGTGCCACTCCCGAAATACTCACAGTGGCAGGCAGGTCGTGGCAGTCCAACTGCACTGGCAGAGGCATGGGCATGGGCATGAGGTATGACGCATGGACATGGCGCATGGACATGGCGCATGGGATGGGACGTACGCTCCTACAGCACTCACGAGATGTTGACAGTGGCAGGCAGGTCGTAGCAGTCCAGCTGCACTGGCAGGGTGGGCGGTGCTGTGGCTGTGAGCTTCGCACCGGGTACCAGCAGCAGCACCTGAGCGCGCAACACAACAGAATCTCGCGCATAGAACATGGATTCTTCAGTACGGAACGGTGCTGCGCAGGCGGAATGGAATGATGCACAGGATAAACTCAGCCGACCATCAGCCCAGGAACACTTGCTGCTGTGCTGTATGGATGCACACAATTAGTTTCACTCTCCTAGAAACCTTGCCCTTTTGAAAGCGTGAGGCTCTGAGGAACCTGACTAATGCCTCATCTTGCCCACCCCAGCGCCTCACCTTGCCCACCCCAACGCCTCACCTGTTTGACAAAGGCATTGTAAGCGGTGGGGGGCAGAGCAGTGAGGGGCGCAGAGGAGCTGATGACAGCTCCCCGGCCCTGCTCTGGTACCGACTCCCATGTCATGCCTGGCAGCGGCAGTGGCTGTGCTGCCACCTGCAGCGATGCTATGGCCACGTAATAGAGCTGACTGGCGGGTGGGAGGGAGGGGGGCGGAAGGGAGGTTGCGGAGGTGTGTGGCTTGGGCAGGGGCAGTGGTAGCGGCAGCTATGCCGCCACCTGCAGTGATGCTATGGCCACGTAATAGAGTTGACTGGTGGGCGGGAAAGGGTAGGGTGGGGGAGGTGGGAGGGTGTGACAGGTGCAATGGCGGTGGCGGTGGCGGTGGCAGGATGGCCACCCGCATGCACCCGCACATAATCCGCAGGCTAGAAACAGACCCCATCCCAGCACGCGACCCACTCTCCAGGTTAACACATGGAGGGTTGGGTAGGATCAGTAGAGGAACAAACACCCATGCACCAACATCAGACCCCATCACGCTACGCACTCTTCAGGTTGACCCAGCATGGGGGTGGAGGAGGTAGGTTTGACGGCAATCCCTGCTGCTGCTGCATCCCCCAGCAGCAGCCTCCCGCCACTGCCTGCTGCTGCGTCACCTTCAAAACACAGTCCCACCGCATCCAACCGCTGCGAACCCAATTGGGCTCCCGAAACTCCTGTTGCCGCTGATGCTGCTGCTGCTGATGCTGATGCTGATGCTGATAACACCACCCCCTGTGCTGCTTCCTCTGCTGTTGCCTTTTGTGTAAAACCTAGGGATTCTTGCGCTGCTGATGCTGCTCCTCCCCATCCTTCTCCCCCTCCCCCAGGGTAACCCTCAGCTGCTGCGGCAGCAGGGGAGGCGGGGAAAGGGGCGACGAGTTGCGAGGGGAGGGAGGTGGCTGAGCGGGAGAGGGAGAGGAGACCATCGGGGTAGAGTGAGGAGGAGAGGGCTGATGCCTCCCCGTCCTGCTGTGCACAGCTGAGGGAAGAGGGAGAGGAGGAAAAAGGGAGGGGAGGGGAGGGGAGAGGGAGGGAAAAGGGAGGGGAAAGGGAGGAAAAGGGAGGAACGAGAAAATGGGAGGGTAATATGTATGGAGGGGGAGGAGAGGGGGGTTTGAGAGGAGGGGAAGCCAGTGTGGACAATGATAAGATAAGGCCTGGCTGTTTCACTGAAATGGGGTAGACACAGAAATGGGATGCATGCAATGCAGGCTGCAGCAGACGGTATGCTATGCCACACCATGCCACACAATGTCATACCACAAAATCAACTCCCCCCGAAAGCCCCCTCCCCCCCCGGCTTACCCAAAGAGCACAGACTGAGACAAACCACCTCCCTCCCCCACTCCCCCCGGCAGCAGCACCACGTCTTGCACGACAGTGCCCACGAGACTTCCCCCCAGGGCGCCCCCCGAGAGCAGAGGCAGGTTGAACTGGCAGGAGAGGTCGGTGGCGTTGACTAGTGAGCAGCCAAAGCCGTTCCCAAGCAGCTGGCACTTGTCAGGAGATATGCACGGGATGATGGCTGCTGTGGTGCTGAGAGGTACTGCGAATGGGGGGCTGGGGGTCTGTGAGGGGGGGGCGGGGAGAGACAGGGGGGAGATGCGGAGAGAGAGGGGGGAGATGGGGAGAGAGAGGGGATAGGTGGGGGGATGGAGTGGTCTTAAGGCGCTTCAAAACGTGAAGCCGCTCCCGAGCAGCTGGCACTTGTCGGGGGAGACGCACGGGATGATGGCTGCTGTGGTGCTGAGGGGTACCGCGAATGGTGGGCTGGGGGACTGGGGGAGGGGGAGAAGGGGAGATGGGTAGAGGGGAGAGAGAGGGGAGAGGAGAGAAGGGCAGGGTAGAGAGGGTAGAGGAGGGGCCATAACTTGAAGCAAGGGATGCTTGAATGAGAAAGTAAACACGCATCCGCATGCTGAACTGAGAGAGTGCAGTGCATGGTGCAGCTGTGTAAGCACGATGAGATGCGGTGAAGCATGGTTGTGTGCAAGCTTGAGCAGGTGATTGGATGGCGTAAGCCTCCAAACATAACCACTTTACATCATTTCATAACACCCCTTTTTGCCTAACACCTCCCCAAACACAAGCCTGGTGCAAGCCCAGAAACCCCACATGCAGGACAGGAGGAGGGGGACGCACCGGGGCGTTGGGAGCAGCAGGGATGGAGGGAGGGGAGAGGCGGCCGGAGACAGCGCAGGAGGCGCAGAGGCAGGGCACGGCAGTCATGGCTGCTGCTGTTGCCACCCCCACCTGCAGCGCCTGCTGCTGCGAGCCCAGCTGAATCGCTGTGTAGAACGCCCTGATGGACGGAGGGATGGGGGAATAATATGTGCATGGATGGGAAGGAAGGAGGGAGGGAGGAGGGTGGGAGGGAGGGAGAAAGGGAGAAAGGGAGAAAGGGAGAAAGGGAGAAAGGGGGAAAGGGAGAAAGGGAGAAATGGAGAAATGGAGAAAGGGAGAAAGGGAGAAAGGGAGAAAGGGAGGACAGAGCTAAGGATGGGCCTTGGCTGGGCCATGCAAGGCCCAAATCAATTCAAGCGCTTGAGTGATGAAAGCATGTGAGCTTGAGAAACGGAAGAAGAGCGCACCTGAGAGGGCCTAGGGAGCGACGATCCAAGGCAGCTGCGAAAGAGGAAGTCGCTGCTGCTGCTGCCTGGCGCCAGGATACACGGCCGGGAAGAAAAGGGGAGGAGGGGGGAAGAAGGAGGGAGAGGACAGGGGGAGCGGAAGGGGAGGAAAGGGAAAGGCATGCAAGAGGGTTGGGCTTCCCGGAGTGGCAAGGATGACGTGCGTGCGTGCGGCGCGTGTGTATGGTATGTGGATTACATATTTGTGGAGTTGCTCTGACTAGAAAGTATGTTCCAACGGCAAGGAGCGTGTAGCGTGGGGAGGGGGGGGGGGGGGGGGGGGGGGGGGGGGGGGTGCTGTAGCGTGTACCTGGGCGATCAGCTGCCGTGGTGCCGGTCTGTTCTTCAATGGGAGGGATAAAGAACTGACAACTCTTTTGCCGCCGCCGCCGCCACTGTTGTTGCTGCGGCTGCTGCCAGTGTCAGCAGGGTTCTTGGGTTGACTGGTTGGGCTGCGTTGACCAGGTTGACTGCGTTGACTCCAGGGCGGCTTCCATTGCTGCACGCCTCTCTGCCCGCTCCTCCACGCCTGCCCACGTGTGCTGTGCCCAGACGCCACGTGGCTGCTGCTGAACCTGAATCCTCCTCCCGTCCCTCCTCCTTCGCCTCCTCGCGTCCCTCCTCCCTCTCCTACGCTCCAACCACTCGCACCAGTAAAAGCCAGTGCCTGGCCTTCTCTCCCTTCTCTCCCTTCTCTCCCTTCCCGCACTCCTCTCTCTCCTTTCCCCTCCCTCTCTTCTCCCCCTGCACCCCACGCCTCCTCTCGCGCCACTCCTCCTGCCCGCGCGCCGTTCCTATGCGCCGCCACCTCGTGGGCGCGGTCGCCGCCAGACGCCAAGCTGCGCCTTTCGACCTGATGGCGCGGGGAGGGGAGCACACGGGCGGGAGGGAGACGGGCGGGGGGTGAAACGGACCGAGAGGGAGGCGCGCGGAAGAGCGGGGGAGCAGGCGGAGAGCGCCACATGGGGAAATCAGGGCGAAATTGAGAGTGCGCGAAGGAGGGGCGTCGGCGGATGGCGACGATACGCGGACCTATGCGTGAATCTGTCCGCACGCTCGGGCGTGGATGCACACTGTGCATACCACGCAAATATAATATGACGGGACTATACTTCTCGACAGCGGACACTGTTAACAGTCGCGCTAAAGAACGCCAACACCGCGCACCACGTACCCGCGGCCATTGAGGAGCCTCTGTCCGCGCGCTGCTTCCCCCCGTCGCCTCCCGCTTCTCCCGCCGCATCAGCACCGTCAACTGCGCCGCCATCTGAATCAGTGCCAGTGATAGCGCCATCGCCAGCACCGCCACGACCAGCGGCGCGCGCGGAGAGCCTACCGCGCGCGCACGCGCGCGGGGGACTCCGCGCTGTGCGGGGGGAAGGGCGGTAGGCGCCATTGCACTACGGAGGGTGTCTGCCCTGCGGCTAGCACTGTTGAGCGGCGATGACGCACGAGCGTTGTCTATAACGAGCGGCCTAAAGCTTCTGTAACGTGAGCCCGAAATGCCGGCGTCCTAGCGTCATTGTAGGTGAAAGTTACTAACCAACAAGGCTCATTCTAGACCAAGACTGTAGGGTCAACAGTGCAACGAGCGACTAACGAACGAGCGAGGAGGAATCAGCGACAGTGAGGCGAGGTAGAATGACCAAGGGAATATCGCGGCTGGAAATGGTACATGCGCTGGCCAAGCCGCACCAAAACTGTGCTGAAGCAGGCAATTGGTTTGGCTTGGGGCAGGTGTACCGGTATTCGATAGAGGACGTCGGCGGGACGAGAAGAAAGGAAGTGTGGAGGTTGAAATGTGGGAAACCAGGATAATGTTTGAAATATGAAAGCGTACATCCTCTTGTCACTATGTTTGACAGGTCCTTTTTTACCTGAAATTTAAGAGGCAAAGTATTATAAATTACCATTATCTATCAAAGCTTGAAGAAACAACTATGTGCAGCAGTTATACTTTCAATCCAAACTTCCGCCCTAAGCTCTAGAGTGACACGTTCAAGTATAGCAAAGAGTGCTTTTGTGAAAGAGTGTTCTTTGTTTGTAAGGATTTACAAATCCCTACTGAGGCACTCGTTAGCGAGGTCATCCCGAGGGCCACGCGACCAACTGGTTTGGCCTACAATTTCGCATCCAAACCACACCGAGCCGCCTCCACACCAATCGCGACCCTTCGCGAGCCAACCTTTCCCCACCTCCCCGCCTAGCTAGGACTTCCTGTGTGTATCGTCATTCTGTAATCCATCATTCATGTTATTCGTTATTCTGTGCACTTAGCAAGTTCATTTATAACACCTGGTATCAGAGCTACTTTCCTAGCCTACCCCGCTTTTTAGAGTGTAATACCCCTAAGGGGGGGACTAGGAAGGACGTCTTGGAGTCCAGGAGTTGCGTAGTCCGGCCAGGAGAACTAGTTAGTTGCTCCTCGCGGCTATGTTTTCACGGGTACTCCTTCGGCACCGCCAAATCCTTGCCTTCGACGGTCGCGATCGGCCGTGGCCCCCCTCCCCCCGGACAACGGGCAGCTGTGGCTGTCGCGACATTAAAACGTGAATTATTATTCCGCTGCGATTTACTGACGATTTCGGAAGTTCTGTGTGGCAGCTGGCGTCAGCGGACCTGCGTCGGCACCTGCACGAAATTTTCGGAAGTCGTCACGATGAGTGGCAGTTGACGACGTCGGACCTGTGTTGTCAAACATTATGTATGTTGTTGTGTTTGTTTAGGCTACAGTGGGTTAGCCTATAGGGGGTACACAATTCTAGGGTTAGGTACTTGTACTGTTTTCACTGCTAGTCCATTCATTCCTGTTCCGTTATTCCAACATGGTATAGAGCAGGTCCTTCCTAGGGCCGAATTTTTTAAGGGCCCACTACTACCTACCTACCTACCAGGCCTCTGGATAGGATTTGAACCAGTCTTTCTCATAAGGGTAACCAGCTGCTTTCACTCTTTCTGTAAGGGTACCAGGCAAGCACCACTCTTTTTTGTAAGGGTTTAAACCAAACTATAACTTTTCATGTAAAATAACTAGTAGATTTTAGGCGTGACGACTTAGCACAATGGGTCTTTTAGTGAATGGGATGCGATATCGATACTTGTGGGAGGCATTTGGTGGGCAAAGTTGTCCATATGACTCGGTTTCTTCGAGCTACTTTACTTTTTGAGGAGGATGTATGTTCCCGATCAGTGCGACTGCACCACTTCACTCTGAAATATCAGGGTCCTAAACATATTCACTTTTTCCTGTAAGTGTCAGAAAAAAATCCACTTTGTAAAGTAAGGGTCCGAATCAGAACACACCCTTATAGTAAGGGTCATAAGGGTGATTCACCCTTATATCAAGAGGCCTGCTACCTACCTACCTGTGCCCTAGGGCGCCTCGGTTTTTTTTTTTTTCACGGCCACCTAAGGCCCCGACGGCCCGCCCCTAGAGGCCCCGTACGGCCCCGCGATCGCCCCTAGAGGCCCCGTCGGCCCCACACTTACCTCCCTAGAGGCCCCGTACGGCCCCGCGATCGCCCCTAGAGGCCCCGTCGGCCCCACGCTTACCTCCCTAGAGGCCCCGTACGGCCCCGCGATCGCCTCTAGAGGCCTCGTCGGCCCCGCGCCTGCCTCCCTAGAGGCCCTCCTTACGACCCCGCGATCGCCCCTAGAGGCCCCGTCGGCCCCGCGCTTACCTCCCTAACGGCCCCTTACGGCCCCGACCTCGCCCCTAGAGGCACCGTCGGCCACGCACTCGCCCTTAACGGCCCCGACCGGCCCCGCGATCGCCCCTAACGGCCCCGACCGGCCCCACGCTCTCCCTTAACGGCCCCGATCGGCCCCGCGCTCGCCCCTAGAGGCCCCAAACGGCTCCGCGCTCGCCCCTACGAACCCCGAACGGCCTCGCACTTGCCCTTCACGTCCCCTTACGGCCCCGCGCTCGCCCTTCACGGCCCCTCACGGCCCCACGCTCGCCCTTCACGGCGAGTACCATCGTGTCTGGGCTTACCATCGTGTCTGGGCTGTACCATCATCAAGGGCTCAAACATCGTGTCAGGGCTGTACCATCATCAAGGGCTCAAACATCGTGTCGGGGTTGTACCATCGTTAAGGGCTCAAACATCGTGTCTGGGTTGTACCATCGTTAAGGGCTAAAACATCGTGTCTGGGCTGTAACATCGTGTCTCGGCTGTACCATCGTGTAGGGGCTATAACATCGTGTCTCGGCGGTCCTACCTGCTTGCCTACTCCTATTGCTGCTCCTATGGCTAGTCCTCCGGTGCTAGTTTTCGATGCTGAGGGCCGCCCAGTGAAGTTCGACACCTGGCTAGATGACCTGCACCTCTTCCTACAGCTCACTGCCAAGGAGGAAATCTCACTGTACGATCACGCCCTAGGCCATACCCCTGCCCCTGCTGCTACTGCTGACAGCACTGCTCGCTCACAGTGGCAGACTCGTGATGCCCACGCTCGCTTCGCTATTCGCAACTCCCTACCGATAGACGAACGCGAGCACTTTGGCCAGCACAAGACTGCACATGCACTGTACACAGCCGTAGTTGCTCGCTACTCCTCACCTGCCTCTGCTGCGCTAGGCCGTCTCTCCCTCCCCTACCTGTTTCCCAACCTGGCCTCGTTCCACACAGTCGCTGACCTCATCACGCACCTCCGTACTAGTGAGGCCCGCTTCCGTGCCGCCATGCCCGCTGAGTTCCTTGCCACGCCCCCCCCCCCCCCACTCTGGCTCACTCTCTACCACCTAGTCACCCGCCTCCCTAACACACTGCGTGCTCTCAGGGACCACTTCCTAGCTCGCTGCGGCCCGGCCCCGTTGCCCTACCTACGGCCCCGCCCCGCCGCCCTACCAGCGGCCCCGCCGCCCTACTAGCGGCCCCGCCGCCCTACCTGCGGCCCCGCCGCCCTACCTGCGGCCCCGCCGCCCTACCTGCGGCCCCGCCGCCCTACCTGCGGCCCCGCCGCCCTACCAGCGGTCCCGCCGCCCTACCTGCGGCCCCGCCGCCCTACCAAAGGCCCCGCCGCCCTACCTGCGGCCCCAGCGCACTACTTGCGGTCCCGGCCCCGTCCCCTACCGCCCGAGCCGCCTACGCAACCGAGTCGCCCGCGCCGCTAAGCAGCCCGAGCCGCCCGTTCCGCCCGAGCCGCCCGAGCCGCCCGAGCCGCCTCATGCTTCCGTACCTCTTCCCTGACCTTGGTGCCTTTCCCACGGTCGCTGACCTCATTACGCACCTCCGCACTAGTGACATTCGCTACCGCGCTGCGCTTCCTGCTGAGTTCTGCGCCAAGAAACCCCCCCCCATGTACATCACTCTCTATTACATAGTCACCCGCCTCCCTGACTCCCTTCGTGTAGTCACGGACCACTTCCTCTCAGTCTGTCCCACCACTCTCACTGTTGACCTCCTCGAGAAGGCCCTCTTAGCAGCAGAGAAGAGCATAGTCGCAGAAGGAGCCTCTCGTGGTGACCCTCGCACCCCCATTTTTGAGGGGTGTTCCCCCTCCCCCTTTTTGCCCACTCTCGCCTCTGCTGCTGCGGCCGACCTCGTTGGTCTTGAGTCGGTCGGTACGGCGTCTACCCCCAGCGCGAGACGCCGCTCTGGCAAGGGCAAGGGGGGCAAGGGCGCTGGAGGAGCTAGCGGGGGTGGTGGAGGTGGCGGTGGAGGCGGCGGAGGGAGTGGGGGTGGCGGTGTGAGTGGTGGCGGGGGTGGAGGTGTCGGTGGCGGCAGTGGAGGCGGACGCGGCGGAGGTGGTGGCGGTGGGAGCGGAGGCGGCGGAGGTGGCGGAGGTGGAGGAGGCGGTGGTGGAGGAGGTGGAGCTGGTCGGGGTGTCGCTACGCAGCGGGGCGGCTCCGGTGGTGGTCAGCGCCAGCAGCAGCAGCAGTAGAAGCAGCGTTCTCGGGACATCCCCCCCCCTCAGCAGCTCCGTGAGTGGTACGCTGCACGTCAACGGGGTGGGGGTACTGGTCCGTGCACCTACGTCCTACGCACCGGCGACCGCGCGGGTGAGCAGTGTGGGGATGCACACCCCACCCAGCGCTGATTTGGCCGCCTGACGGACGCTTGGCGTCACCAGTTCCCGGAGGCCACTGAGATCCCCCGCTGGGGTGAGCTGTCTAGGGCGGGTGTAGCTATCTTTGATCTTGACTTTGATGCTATTCTTGCTGCCATGTATGCTGTGACTATTAGTGATGAGGGTGACTGTTACCGGTGTTTCCCGCACGACCAGGGCATTGAGACTGCTGCTCTAGGTACTGGTGAGGCTGCTGCTCTAGGTGCCAGTGAGGCTGCTGCT